TTTACTTTCATCTTATTCTTAGGTTGTTAGTATTACAGTGGTACTGGTAACCAGAAAACCAAAATATTTGACGATCATCTTTCTTTCTTTATATTTTAAAGCCTTATATTTCTTTAAACGTATGGAAAACATATTTGGAAATAAATAAGTTATAAAGGAATTGAGTTTTTGCCACAAGCTCAAATTTTCAAACCCTAACTTTGTAAACATTAATATCGATTGCTCAATCTTAATATCCAATGTGGACACTTCATCCGCTCTTTACCTCTCTTTTTGGATACCTGTCTTTCTCCTTATCTCCGAGAATACCTGTCTTTCTCCGTATCTCCGAGAAGTCTCTGAAGTTTAGCTGTTATGACTTTTCTTATGAAAATAAACACCCCTGGCTGCAGCCTGCAGCAGCATGGTGTAGACAGGAAATTCAAAAATGTTTTGCATTGAAGTTAAAAATATTAGATAAAAGATAAACACAATATCATAGGATACCATAAACATCGCACCGTGTTTTTTTTCAGAAATACCATTTCCTGAAACTATTTTCTAATCCCTATATCTTGGCAACCTGAGGAACAACAATTAGATTTCAAACTTTGACTGTTAAATCTAGCTCTGCCAGGATTTAAACCTTGAAATATCAGAGGTATACGATTCAGGTTGCAAAGATAGAAGGATTAGAAAATAAAAGCAATTGTTAAGTCTCTCCTATATTTTCAATTTGGTTGGTTAGTATAAATATTCGATGACATATTTGTTTTCCAAAAATATTTTTTAGAAAGTATTTGCTATTTCTTCAAAAACCAAAAAATGTTTAATGTCTGGTTTTCGTACAAAAAAGACTATGATTGAACAACTTTTCTTTTCTCCCCCTGAGCAGAGGGAGGGTGTAATTCTTGGAAATATATACCCCTGAATATAAAAATATACTAAAATGAAATATGAAAACGATCGAGCAAGGGGGAAATGCACCTGATCACAAAAAAAAGACCTTTAAAAGGACATTACAAATTTTATGAAATATTTAAACATTTATTTACATATCACCCTCACCCCTCATGCCACCATCCTACAAATGTAGAAATATGTTTATTTCAAGATCAAAATCACCAGGCTCCGTTTCTAACAATGGTGGATGTTAGTTTTTTTATCTTAATTAAAAAGAATAACTCTTTGCAAACAAATGAATTTTTTCCTATTTCAAATGATGAAATAAAAACAACAGTTGACATTTTAACTTTTTCATCTTCAATTGCACTGTGATATTTCCTGGCTACATTCACTGCAACGCATAAAACGTGCTGGCTCGACAGTACACTTGGAAGTCCAGACTAGACAGTACGAGTAAATATACAGTACTTGTTGTACCGGCTCGGATCATGAAACTTTTAAAGTGAGGTGAATAAAGTTAGTTTTTCAAAAAATTCTTAACAGCGTATTCCTCTTAATTTTACTTAATGATGCATGCAATTATTTTCGCCATTAATGGAAAGAAAGACTTTTCAAAAGAACAGAAAAAGTTTTGGTTTTGAACAATGATAATTTGTCTTGAACTTTAGATAACTTCGTAACCTCTGTTTCTGTAAATAAAAAATCCCCCCCCCCTGCCCCTTTGTCAATATTTGTTGTGCAATGTGCATGCTTGAAAAAGAAATAGCTTTGAGTCTAGCCTTTATTTTGCAAGGAAAGATGCCTTCTGCTTTAAATTTTTTTTCTAACGTCTACAAAATTTCATTTGCCCGGCTAATGCTAAAAAGTATGTTTGCACCATTTAGAATATATATTTTATGTATATAGCACTAACACCATTATTATATGTTTGGTATTTACGCATTATGAATACATTAAGAGAAGTATGTACATAAGGAAAATTAAGTAATTCGACCCTAGGGTCACAGCTATTCATTATTTACTGAAAACTAAGCAAAAGATCGCTTCCCGTCATTTTCTAGGAAAAATTTCAGTGAACTATTAACTGTTGCTTTTGTAGCCACCATTTTTTCGTTAATCGCAGAAAACAAAATTGTTCAAGGATTTTGTTTTAATTGGCGCATTTCAATGATAATAATTGTCGAAAATTTCCAGTTCAACCGTTTTGACGTTTTTTGAATAAAGCATGTATAATGTATATAATATACATAACCAAAAAGCATCAAACAATAAGAAGCCACAAAAAATCGGTTATCGGGCAATGAGAGAACGGTGAAATATGAGTTAACTTGTTCCATTTTAGAAATTTCATTAAAATCAATTTAATCTAAGAATTGAAATTATTTGTGGATATTACCTTATTATCTAGTTCAGTAACCGGTCCACGTGCAATATCCACTCCCATACTGTTTATATCCAGGTTAGCATACTGCTTTCTACTTCCTGTAGATCTAAACATGGATACAGGATACAGTATACTGTTTATATCCAGGCTAGCATACTGCTTTCTACTTCCGGTAGATCTAAACATGGATACAGGATACAGTATATTGTTTATATCCAGGCTAGCATACTGCTTTCTACTTCCTGTAGATATAAAAATGGATAAAGGATACTGCTGTATATAGTTTATATCCAGGCTAGCATACTGCTTACTACTTCCGGTAGATCTAAAAATGGATACAGGATACTGCTGTATAAAGTTTATATTCAGGCTAGCATACTGCTTACTACTTCTGGTAGATCTTAAAATGGATACAGGATTTATATACTTTATACTTATAAGTATAAAGTTTATATCCAGACTAACATAGTGCTTTCTACTTCCAGTAGATCTAAACATGGATACAAGATACAGTATATTGTTAATATTTAGGCTAGCACACTGCTTTCTACTTCCGGTATATCTAAAAATGGATACAGGATACTGTATACTGTTTGTATCCAGGCTAGCATACTGCGTACTACTTCCGGTAGATCTAAAAATGGATACAGGATACAGTTTATAGTTTATATCCAGGCTAGCATACTGCTTACTACTTCCGGTAGATCTAAAAATGGATACAGGATACAGTATATAGTTTATATCCAGGCTAGCATACTGCTTACTACTTCCGGTAGATCTAAAAATGGATACAGGATACATTATATTGTTTATATCCAGGCTAGCATACTGCTTTCTACTTTCGGTAGATCTAAACAAGGATAAAGGATACAGTATATTGTTTATATCCAGGCCAAAACGCATCCTTTGTTGGATACACGATATAGGATACAGGATACAGATTACTATTGAAGATAAAGCATACTGTAATTGATAAAACTTCTAATATAAAGTAAAAGAAAACGCCATAAAGTAATTCTAGCGCAATAAAAAAATATATATTCTTTCTGTAGGTTGTGCTGAAAATTGATAGAAAAATAAGATTTACCAGAGATACATTATGACAATTCCCATCGGACCCCTAGGCTATACTAGAGGGCAACCTAGCTAAGGAAAAGGAAGAGGTGGGGGGAGGAATGGGAGGGTGGGAGACTAAGACTAAGACTAAGACTAAGACTAATACCAAGATGAAAATCAACAACTTGTATCCTATTGAAAACTTTAACTGTAAATCTATAAAACGGAAACTAGCTCCCTTCCCTTTTTATTCTATTGAGTCACTGACTGAATAAACTTTTCTAATATTAAATTCATTTTCAGTAAATATTTACACTGTCAGTCTTAATAAATTCTGAGCGTTTTTTATTTTATTTTAAAAATGTTACATGTTTTGAGGCTTTTTAGTCCGCCGGTACATGTATTTTGTCTATTTCGATTGCGTATTTAGTTTTTAGATTTACTGGTATTTATATGTATAAAGCAGTAATCTCGTTTATGGTGTTTATTTGTTTGTTTGTTTGATATATCCAATAATAGCTCATAAACCCCTGGACCGATTTGCCTAAAATTTGTATTGATGAACTCGAGAACACCAAGGGAATGTTCTTAGCTTGGTTTTGAGATCATAGAATAAATACAAATAATAAATATAGAATAAATGTGATTTTAAATGTTTATTGTAGAGGATCAATTTTCGCTATAAATCCGAACTAGGAATCCTGGAAGGAAAAGGAAAATATACGGGAAAAGGTGGAAATCCAGTATTTCTCCAACCTGCATCAGATCAACATGTCCTCCTGCATAATAGTTTATTTCCTGCAATTGTATTGCTAATAAATGTTAAATCTGGCATAACTAACTTCATGATAAACTCTATTTATTTATTTAAAACTAAAATAAACATTTTTATTCTTTATCGTTTATTCTAATCTTGTTAAGTTTACTACTATAAATATCAAACAAAACCGTGCAAATAAAAGGAACATTAATCATTATAGGACTTTCTAATCCACAATAATACACTCGGAGATTAGAACTGTTGAGTAAAATGTTGAGTGTCAAAACTTTTAACTATAAGTGCTTAATCTGCCAAAATCGTCTGACAAGCAATTTTGCGATCTCTAAGACCAGGGCTTTAGTAACATCTATAGAACTAAATACGGATTAGTGCTATTGAGAGGGTTAAGAGTTCTAACCTCTGAGTAGCTTCTGTTTATAATTTATCCTTTCTCTAGTTGAGATACTTGACTCGTCTAATTCCCTTCCCCGTCTTCAAACTATTTTAATCCCTTTAACCCCTTTTAATCAAACTTAATTCCTAAATATCCCCCCAGCCCTTCGATGTGATAACCACCAGTCCATTCAAAATTTTAAAATACGGGGTTACCCACGAAGGATGATACTTCGGAGACGACTGTACGGAGTTATTACTGTTTCTTTAAATTCATGATTTCAAGAGGCGGTGAACTTAATTCTTTGATTTACAAATACTAAAATGTGCAGTTGAAGGACTGTTTTAAGGGCAGAAGTAGTCGTCTTTACAGTCTCGTCCTTTGAGGGTAACCCTGTTTATAAGGGTCCTGTCACGTCCTGGTGCGAATTCTAAGTCTCCCCCCACCCCCCACTNTTTGACTAGCTAATAATCTGTAAGAAGAATTTCTACAAAAAGGGTCACTGAAATTATAACGACACAAAAGTTTCCCCCTGATTTTGTTAAAACTAGATTAATCTAAGAAGTAGAATAAGTGTAGAATGTGCAAGTTTAACGTTTAACAGAACAAATCTAACTTTAAATTCAAATCCTTCTTAGACTTCATCTTATTCTAGACATAGGACAGTTATATAAAACAGAGAATTCAAACACAGAATAGGGAAAATTTTTAATTTAAGGTTCTTTTTATAATCATTGTGGGGAAAATTAAGAGAATATTTTGTTGGTTTAGTATTTTAAACTAAGCCATCAGGGCTCAGCGCGCCCATTTTCTATTTCAACTTTTTATTGTTGCTCAATCTTTCAGCAATTACTTTTTGATAAAACAAT